AGGCAATGTAACACTGTAACGCTATTTCCATGACGATCCAGAGATTCGGCCGCTCAGTTATCGCAAGATGGCTGATGTAAGTTGCATGCTCACATTTCATCACCATTGTCAACGATAGATGGTGCTATAATAATATTTGATAAGTTGCTTAACAGGTTTATTCTGTGTGTCATTTACGGAAGAGAGCATTTCACGACGTTTTAACTTCTCAGGTATATACGTATTTCTAGAATTCTAGAAGCTTATGTCTATGTTCTTTAACACACCTTACACTGATTCATTAATAAATACAGACTATATAGTCCTCTGCGGTTGCTTTCATGAGCGGCATCCCTTAAAGTTACTTTTGAAATGGAACTGCGCTAATCCAATTGACCAATCATCGGACAATTAAAATTCTCATAAATTTAACTCTGAATTGTATTCAAAAAGTAAGCTTCACGTGTTTTAAACACCAGGTATTTCACATCATCTTTAAACAGCCGTTAGTTCTGTTTTAACAAAATATGAATCAATATATTATTTGTTTATCCATTAATGTTGTCTAAGATCAGCACTGAGCTCGAATTTCCATCAAAATCAAGATATAGTGAGGAAAGTTTAGGAAGCGCAATGGGAAATGCAGAGTTCTCAGAAAATACTAAATGATACAGGGTGTGGTGTGTCTAATAGAATGGTAGAAGGTTCGTAGAATTCCTGATGCGCTGTGCGTGAGACAATAGTAGAGTTACAAAAAAAGGCATAAGTCACCCAAGAAACAGAAAGCCATCGAGCCTCTCAGCGTGTGAAGGAATGGTCAGCGACAGGTGCGGTCGGGATTGCTCAGGAAGCAGGAGGTTCAGGTGGGCAGGGTGGGATCCACGGAGATCAAAGCTGGAGGCAGGATGGACCTGGAGGCCTAGAATTTCACAGATATCGACCTCAGGATTGGACAGGTTGCATCGCGGGGGTCTGGGAGGCCATAGAACAGCAGTTGGGGAATTTTGAAGTTAGCGGGTTCGCCACGGAGGAGCAGGAATGACCCTCGTGTCTTTCTTCACCGCAGTAGAAGCACTTAGGGGCCCTGGGCCGAGTTGTGACCGAAGCCACAGCAGCGGAAGCAGACGCGGACGGGCTCTTCGAAGTTGAGGATAACTCCATCAACCACAATCCTTCCGCGCGCACCCAGTGCTTTGAAGGTGTCGTTGTCAATCTCGATGTATACCGTGCAGGTCCCGTTCCACGTAGCTGAGCGATATGCCACACGCACAACCTTGTCACCAGGAAGTTGGCTAAAGGCTGGAGTGGCCAGGGAAGTCTTCTCAATGGTGGAGTTGGTGGTATCCTCGTCCATCCTGAAAAGGCAGATGCGCGGCATGATTTCCTTCGGCATGATTTCCTTTCCTTCAGATTGTTAGCCAGGGAGGAAATGGCAGCATAGATGGTTTCCGGGTTTCTGGCGTGTAACACCAGCTTCTTCTGGTGCGGCGAGACGCACAGATACCTTGGGGCAGGGTATTAACCGCGCGGACAGCCTTCAGGATGTTCCAGGGGCAGCTTGTGGGTTGTATGACACAATCACGGCATGCGTCGCCGATTTCTCGACGTGTCGTTTGACTTTGAGGATGGGCTGATTTGGTGGTTCAGGAGGGGGTGGTCTTGGAGGGAACAGCAGCATTGGTTCTTTTGGCAGGCGGGTTGAGTGCTTCTGGATGCTTCCTCTTGGCAGGGGCGGGAGTGGCAAGTTGAACGGGCTCAGTCTGAGCGCCAAAATACTGGAAGGTGGGAGCAGGGCCAGTTTGGGCGGACTTGCGGGCCATCTTGGGCTTCTTAGTTTGGCCCAGGATTTTTTCCAGTCCAAAGAATTCTTACACAGTGTAAGAGAGTCTTTTCACATCCTCGTAGAGGCGCTTAATCTGCCCGGTTCGTTTTTCAATGTATTGAATTAAGTTCAGGTAGAGTCCTTTGAGTGGAGGCTGGTTGAGGGAGCGCAGGACCTCGAAGTGATTGGAGCCAACGACTATATCTTCGGCCTCCAGAGCCTGAATGTCAATCTTGATTTCAAATGGCATAGTCCTTTTTCATTTTTTCTTCAGAGATACCATGGCAGGAGAGGAGAAGATGTTTCCTCTTCGAGCGAAAGCAGAGAACTGCAGTATAAGGTATATTGAAATAGTTTTTAATTATATGAAATGTAGCGCAGCGTGTTAAAATTTGCCATAATTTTAAACAATGAAGATTGCAGTATTTATGATATTCCAAACCACAGATTTAGCTAAAACTACCATTGTGTCTCTTCTCTAAAGTATATCAGCCCCGTCAATTTTCTGATAAAAATTTAGCGCCAAAAAAAAAATAAATATTTCACTCTAAATTGAATTCAAATCTATGTAACGATAAGAAAATTACAAAAGTTTAAATAATTTCCACACACACACACAATAAGTATATATTAACCTTTTCAAATATGAAAAAATGGATGAAATAATTCGAAAAAAAGAAATGTATGCAAATAAATGTTGAGCAGAGAAAAGCATGCTTACTCTTATTTAATATAACTAAAAATAATGTATGAAAAAAAAAAGAGAAATCAATAAGTAAGATAGGTTTATAATATTATTTTTGAGGTAAATATTATTATTGTATCGATAAATATTTAAATTGTTTAACAGCAAGATTTAATAACAGAATCAAGTTTTTTTAAATCGGCTTTGACACGTCATTAGCTTGTCTAAAAAAACAACAACTGGAGCAACGAACCAGATTATTCTCCAATCAAATAGAAGAGAGTGAAAAAAAAATATTTTTTAAGTTCACTTCTTAGATTACTTTTTTCTATTTGATTGCTGAATATCTAATTCGTTACCCCAGTTGTTTTTTAAACAAGCTCATGGCGTGTCAAAACCGAATTAAATGCTTGGTTCCATTGTTAAATCATGCTGTTAAACAATTTAAATATTTATTGATACATTCATAATATTCACCTTAAAATTAATAATATAAACTTATCTTACTAATTACATTTCTCTTTTTTATACATTATTTATAGTTATATATATTGTCAAATTATATTGACAAACCTTTGCACTTTTATCTCAGTTTTCAGTGGGAAGAATGTTGTTTTGTTTTTTAAGTAAACCGATCTCTCAAACATTCTAATTGGACCAATGTGTACATGTTTGTATATAAGAGGGGGCTGAGAGAATGCAAGTGGCCAGTGTGGTTGATTATCATGTGGAGACGCTTAAAATGTTCTCTGCGTGCTTTATCCGTGTCTGGTGATCTCCTCGCATACCTGTGTGACCCCGGTCTGATCCCTACCAACGCTACAATAAAAGATAAGCACAGTTTTTATTTTATTTTACAAATCGTGAGTTTTTATTTACTTCCATTTTGTTGTTGGTGTTGTACTTTTGAGTGTACGCTTTTCTGTGTATTGAGTTACTCTTATTTTAGGCCCTAGTATATTGCTTTCTTGTGTGATAACCCGTAAAAGTAAATTTTTTCAATATTTGGAAAAACTAAAAGACAATTCGATAGCTTTCAAAATGATAACGTTGTTTCATACAAAAGAATTTAACTCCGGATCAGCTTTTGATGTAATCATGTTGAATGGGTGCAACCAAAGAAACCTCTACGTATTCAAGTAGACTTACCGAGAATTTCATCACAATATTCGTAGAAATATCTCTTTCCATGAACCAGGCAAGGAGTTCATTTATAGATCGTGAGGATTGCCTGCTTCCCTGATACACGTCCTTTCCTGTCACGCCTGGAATTTTTTTCTCAATTGCACAATTGGGAAAATTTGAAGATGTGATTCAGCCCGAAACAATGGTCTCCAGGTGGACATTTCTCAGTTTGCCAAAGCTGGTGTTGTGGCTTTGTCACCGACCGGAGTACGCTAGTTTGCAGAGACGGTCAATAGATGGCGTCTGGTTTAATCGTTATTTTGACGTGAGAAGCGACCTTTATTTTCTATAGATTTTCCCGGAAAATTTTCCCACTCTAGAAGTTCAGACATTAATTGTGTTAACCCCAGATTATGAACTATGTCATACAGTTCGTCTTGCCTGGGACACTGCAGTGATATGTGTTTTTTCACAAATTTCTAATCATATTTCGAATTACTCTTAGATACGGTAATAGTCGCTCTGACCTGTGATGTCAATTCTTCTCTATTACTGGAAGGTGTCTTGGGAATAGCTAAATGTGAACTATGATGTACGGGAACTATGAATGATGTGCTTCAACATTTCATCAACAGAATTTTTTTTCAGCATAATATGAAGTCAACCCAACATGCAAAAATGGCAATATCATTGGTGGTTATTTGACTTTTAACAAATTTTCATACGAACAATAACGTACACTCATGAACAAAACTTAAGGAGATTTTACCTTTTAGCATGTATATCGGAATTCAGACAATAACTCTGAAAGATGTTTAATACACACAGTGACCCTTATTGAAGACACACGAGATAATCAAGTATGAACAAAATTGCCTCTGTCTCCTTTAAAAATATATACGAGCGGAGACATCAAATAATTTCCCCTTCCTCAAGTTTTGTCCATGTTTGTATATCATATAATTCCTCAATATTACACATTTAATAGCTTTTGATGATACTACGAAGTCCTAGAATTTTTATCTTTTTTATTATATTCGGTATAAAATATGAGGCTCAGTTTTTGAGGACGTTAACAAAAATTTTGGAGAAAAGGTTTTTATTTTTAAATTTTAAGCAATTTCAGCTTTAATTTTTCTTTATTATATAAATATGTATTCAACTTTAATTTTTATTCATTCACACTCATCTTTTTTCAGAACAAATTCTGGAGATTGGGCTCGTTAAGATAGTTAAGCATTTTCTTTGATTCCTTAAAGAGAGTGTACTCGAACATTCCAATACATTTCAGTATTGTAAAACGACATTTGAAAATTATCCCGCATGTGTTTCTTTTCAACGAAAAATCAAAATTTATTTTAAGGAGAAATAACGATTATTTCTAACTAGGTGTCCACTAGGCTACCCTGGACATGGCATCTGCCCGGTAAGCTGAACACTATGGGTTCGATTCCCATCCCTGGACACTTTATTTTTACGTTTATCATTACCCTTCACAATTCATCCTTTCATACCTCCTCCCTTAGGTTAGAAATAATCGTTATTTCTCCCCTTAAAATAAATTTTGATTTTTCGTTGAAAAGAAACACATGCGAGATAATTTTCAAATGTCGTTTTACAATCACAAGCCGCATTATATTATATTGTATTACATTTCAGTATATTCTGGGGAGTGCCATCTTCAAATTTATATTTGGTGCGTTTAAAAAAAGTTATTGCAGCTTAAAATGCAGTTGTTGGGCTTTCTTGCATGAAGTTTCTATTTATTTAATCAAGACATATATTAAAGACGACATCAAAATACTGTGGTATTGCCAATTTATTGACTAGTTTAATTTTTCAGATTGCCTTTTCACATATAGAGTTGTTGTTGTTGTTGCTTATTCCTCAAGTCATGTCTTTCTACTTGTATACACACATAGAGTAATTTAGTGAATTCACTGTTTTACTTTCTTAACAGAATATCTGTATTTGGTTGCATATCATCCCTAAATAGTATGTAAAAATGTAAAGTAACAAAATCGGTCTTTTTGAAAGCATCAAATTTATTTTGACGATAAGATAGATGCATTATAAACTAGAGAAATAGGCGGTAGAGTTTGTTACTGATGAACAACTCGCCATGCTATCTTTTAATCGCCCTAGTGAGTGAGGATTATTGTTACATTTACATTAAAAAGCTTTATCACTGAAAATTAGAAATGTGCGAGCTATTTTTAACAAAAATATAAGGTTGTCCCAAAAGTTCGTGAACACTTGCAAAAAATTGAAATTCTAATATTATTCACCATAATATTATTCGCCGTTATGTATAATGTCTTTGTATTATGTATGAAGTAATTGTATTATGTTCAAGCAATTGTATTCGCCGTAATAATATTATTTGCCAAGTATTAAGAAAAACGACGTTTAAAAAAAAACAAGAACTTTTGGGACAACCTCGTATTTAAAATCTATTTCTGCAGCCCTTCTACTGAAATGATTTAAAATTGAAAGAGGGAAGACATGGTTCATGAGTGATGAATCCTCCAAAAGATTTTGCCATTTTAATCTTTAGACCGCTTCACTATTATATAAGACTGAATTGGTATATACCTTGCGTTTGCTATTGAGTACAGTAAATTGGTGTTTTGAAAAACTATGGACATATGCTTCTAGGACTGCAGAAATGTATATCTAAATTAAATATTTAATGCATCGAGTAATGCTCATCCACATAATCACAAAATGACACTTCTTCTCAAACACAACGGTTTTTTAAAGGAGTAATACGTGATTTCTTATGTTAAGAAACTAAGCATCTTAATCTCAATATTATTCGAAAATATATATACACAAATGTATCAAATTATGTGATGCCATTAAGAAAATAAGCATCTGATTGTGCAACTGAACGCTTCCAACATCCTTGCTCCAACTAGAGGAATAAATATATAAACTAAGCTTTAATTTGTAGAACAGCTAATGAGATGAAAACCAAGTGTCTTACCATCAGTTAAAACTATGGATTGATCGCCTTGGAAGAATCTAATTGAAGACCTGATTGGGAATGATTCGTTTGACATAACAACGTTGTATGATTTCTTTCAGCAAAGCTCTGAAAGAGTTCAACGTCCCGAGACATGCTTTTGTTAATGCTGTTCTCTGGATAGATACCATTATGTTCATTTCTCTCTCAGGATCTCTTTTTTTACGTGTTCTCTGTACGGTTTGTGCGCGAAATTATACATTTTGTTGCTGTTTCTTTTCCTCTTGTGTGAAGATTACACGAATTCCATAAGTTCATGCTCTTCAGCTGATCTCATGGAATGGGGTGTAGAGGTGCAGCTTTCGTTGATCATGAAGTCAGACTTTCACCAAAGTATGCCTGGATCATGCCACCATGATCCAGGCATACTTTGGTGAAAGTCTGACTTTGCCTATAAATTATACATACATATGTATAACAATCAGTTCAGAATATTAGCTAAAATTCTTGATAAGTTTTGCATTTATAGAATGAAAATGTTCTTGATGTTTATTCTTGGGGTTTTATTAAAATTTCAATCGATTTGAAGTCAATCCAGCCGTTTGAACTTCTCTAAAAAAGATTTCTCGGCGGTTGAAGAGGAGATTTTCTTAGCTTACCTCACCACCATATCTTATCATCAGGTGTTTTACTTCACTGCTCCTTATCTATGTCTTAATCACCCACGATTGGTAGGCTGAAATGGGCCGATGGAAGGCTCAATTTGATTGGTTGATGACCGGCTACCGCCCCCTAGCGGCCAAATATCATTTCAATGCTCGCCCAAATTCTTTCTTTATTCCAAGTGACCTGGTTCCTGCAGCACTGCGGGTAAGTCATTCCCTCCACGGCCGCTCTTATCGTCTGCTTTATCTCTGAAGTCATCCACGGGTTTAGAACAACTCACACTAGGTTCGTCTGCTATCTACGCTATGTACTGTCATGTTCTCTTTGCCATTATTTTGGTCATGGTGGCTGTAACGTGGAATCAAGCCAATGTTGGACGTTCGGTAGGTTCTTGGTGTGTCCTTTGTGCCATGTCCTTTGTGGTAGCCATGAGCAAGGGCTGAAAAGGGGCTTTCTATACACTTGTATAAATATATAATGAAAGGACTTAAGCACGAATGTTTCTTTTCACAAATAAACCACACTTCTACTGTCCTTACTGCGATGAAATAATATATATTGGGAGGGCTTGGCTCATCAGTGGCAGTAAGGACAGTAGAAATTTGTATAGTGTATAAAAGAAACATTCATGCCTAAATTCTTTCATTATATATATATAGATGGTGCGTTATTGCTTTGTGTTAACTTGTATAAGTATAAAATTACATTTAAAAAATTGGGGGAAAAAACAATTTTCCCATTTGGAATGCTCAAAAAGTGTTTTAAAATGTTTTCTCGAGTGCAAAGTGTTGTATAGAATCAAAGTTAAATCTAAATTATGAAGTGATGTGTATAAACTGTAATATAGAGTATGCATTTATAATGAATTTTATCTCAATTCGTTGAAATGTTCATTTTACAAATATAGGTGTGAGCTGAAAAAAATGCATCGTAATATATTTTAAAGTTGAAGTTTCAAAAAGGCATGAATATATATATTGACTTTAGTATCTTCAATTTTATATTAGTTTTACTAATTTTAAGAATTAAATATATTGCTTGAAATATTTAGTAATATCTCTCTCAACTAAAATCGGATATTTGGGTTGAAAAAGAAATTGAAAAAAGATATTTAAGATACAGTAGAACTTCCCTGTAAAGGACACCTAATTGCAGAGCCAAAGTGTCCTTTAGGAAGAGGTGTCCTTTTACCGGAGAGTTACAAATTGTAAAAATGGTAATTTTGCAGATGAAAACTGTCCTTTGTGGAGAGATGTCCGCTAGTGGGGTGTCCGCTAAAGGGAGGTTCTACTGTATCTGTCAAATTTAGTGGGGTGGTTAACATCTTTAGCTTATATTCACCGAAATTATCGAATTGTTTGAATATAACCAACATTGTTTCAATCTTGTCGAATCGGTCAAAAATATTATCCCTATAGGTATAGGTTATCATTCAAATAAGCATTGACAAAAAATTGATATTGTATCTAGTTCTGCCATCTAAAAATGCTCATTACATGAGGAATCAGGATATGCTTACTATATTTTTCGCCTGACCTTTTCCTATTTTTATGTTATTTTTTCATGAATAGAGTATTTACAAAAATTTTGCCTGAATACTCATTTCTTATTTCTCGGGGGAAACCTCTTGAAACAATTGTTGGTCGTTGAAGTACAGCCTGCACCACGCTGACGAGGGAAAACAGCCCGAAAAGCGTACGTGGTTAGCTTTTTTTTTCTTATTTATCAAGAAATACGTTGGCCATATATTATGGAAAAAAGTTTTTTTTTTTTTTTGTTCCACTAGATGGCGCTCTTCCATCTTAAAATCCCCATGTGAGCGGTCAGTATATGCCTTATTTTATTTTTAATATTACCAACTGGCCTTTTTTACTTTTTTCACACACACATACATATAAATAGATATATTATAAAAGGTAAATCACAGAAATAAAATATAATGATTTCCTTTACAAAATCGAATCTTAAAAATTCACTTGCTTCAATAATTGTAAAAAAATAAATGTTTCCCTCTTTTTTTTTCTTTTTCTTTTTTTCAAATGCGATTCGGAGAGTTTTCTTGAATATATATATATTATATATATATAGTTACTGGTGTTTGTAAAATAATTTAAAATATATTACCACAAGTACAATATTACCTCGTAAAAACGTACCTAGAATGCGTATTTTTATATAATATTCAAGTTTTTTCCTCTTCCCCACTCCCATAATATTTAAAAACTAATGTTTGAAACTAGATAATTTAGATAGTTCTCTCTTGCTAGACATTTCATTAGCAAAATCCTAATTGTCTTTCAATTGTTAGTTATAATTTGAAAAAAGCTTTTATTATGTGTTTATATTTTATTATGTGTGTGTTGGCCGCTATAGAGTCGGTGGACGAGTGGGTAACACCCTCGATTCCCGACAGTCATGAACCGGGATCGTATCCCGCGTTAACATTTTGTTTAATATGTGAATAAACTTCACTTATTATTCATTGTTGCAATTATCATAATCTAGGTTGCTCTTTTTGAGCGGTACCTAATAGTGTGATTTTGGAACAAGAACACGTATAGGCCGCTGAAATCGTTATTAAAG